GCTTTTATGCTTCCAGTTTGAAGACAAAACTTCGGCGGGAAACTCGCGACGTCGATTAGAAGAATGTCTCTATAGTTCCAATCCGTATTCTGCAAAAAGAACACCACTGCAAGTCCAGCGGTACGAAAACACACGCAAAGCATGCGATCAGTAAACCAAAAAAACTCCTGAAAAACAAAAGGCACAGATGCTTGACTTACTCGTTTGGTGGAGGAAGCTCGTGATGAGAGCCAGTAGGCATACTGGGAGATGAAGAAGATTGATCCCAAGCCAACACACCACATTACAGGCGACTTCAGTTGACTAGAAGCAAGCGCAAGCAGAAGCAATGCAGAGGACTGGGCAAGGCACGCGCTGCAGAGAAGGTAGAAAGAATAACAACAGTATGCATTATAGAAAGAGACTTCGATCAGAGACTGGTGCAGGTCAGCCAGAAAGCAAACCTCGAAAGAGGCAGGTGTACTAGAGGATGCGACCGTTTAAGTGTACAAAGGTGACGCGGCGCTGCCATCAACGTTAGCAGGAAGTAGCCTAATCTAACAAAACCTTCTTGACATGGATAGAGGAGAGGTTTGGGAGCCTAGCTTTTTCGTCACGGTTTGCGTCTAATCTTCTTTTCACTTAAGCCGCGTGGGGGCCTGGTGTTTGCTCATCCCATCTATTTACAGGACGGCGCGCTGATTCTCAGCAGTGCTCCCGTTGAGCACCCTCACAAACAGTCACGTCACGCCAGGCCACAACGAGCAAATGAATATCGTAAAACATAAACGGAAAGGACAAAAATGACCGGAATGGTCACTTGTAGTGGCTGTAACCCTACTTCCTTCCAACACGCGCAAGCACCAACGCTCAACCTTTGGCCTCGGACATCAATGCGCATGTCCGTTCCGAAATCAGTCTAATAAGGTCTGATCTGACTGGTCTGGCCAATCATCGCTCTGAGACTGACTCACACAAAGACCGCTCTGGGCGTTTGTGACAATTCCCGCGCTGACTTCACACCGAATTTTTCCCCGCCAGGGAGCGGACGTAGGCAGCGTTATTGGTGCCTGTAACGATTCCATGCTCACACACCACGGAGGCCGGCCTCCACGGTCGGACGCATGCCTGTCCGAGTGTCAAATTCCTCCCACCTATTCTCCCACTCCTTCTGTACAGAATAAATTGTTCCTACCACCCTGGCCTCCCACTTCTTCTTCTAAGGAACCGG